ACACGACTCCTCGTTCTTTCTCTCGTTCTGCTTTGCGTACGTGACAGTTCGGCCTCTCCTGACTACCACTAACCGACCTCGGTTAGTCGTCAGGTGCATCCCCGTCGCTATATTCTTCGTCGTCTAATTCTGGGTTTAACTGACACCATCGCTTCATATTATCGCTGGACATGACACCACAGTATCGTCGTCGTGACACCGGTGCATCTGGTAGGTCTTCAACGACATACCTATCGTAGTCTAAGACTTTTGAGACCGCGTATGGGCCCTTGTATTTTGCGTCTAATTTGTGTGTTTCACCCGTAGCTGTCGCTACATTTGTAATCATCACCAGATCTCCTTCTTCGTATCGTTGCGGCTGTTTATGACGTGCATTAAAACGACGTTGCCACTTCTCTCTCTCCGCTTCGATGTTATTCTTGGCTTTTAAAAAAACTTCATTTTGTTTCTCCTCGCTGACTGAACTTTGCTCGTCGTATAGTGCTTGAATCAGTCTGTTCTGGCTATAATCTCGCATCTCGTAATTGAAGATGATGTCATTAGGACTTATCCTTGTTGTTGCATTAAGCTGCGAGTTGATGCTCCACTGCAGAGTGAGTAACGTCGTGTCCCACTCTTTCGTGTTGTTCATCATCGTACGTATGGCTGGTAATATTGTTTTGTTGAGGCGTTCTGCTTGACCATTGCCTCGTGGTGTTCTTGCTGCAACCTTTACCTGTCGGATACCATGAGCTTCTAAGAATGTCTCAAACTCTTTCGATGTATACGCTGTTCCTCGATCAGTGGTAATCTGGACCGGCTGACCAAACGTAGACATAACCTCTCGTAACATTGAGATTACTGGTGCGGATTTTGTATTCCGCACGGCTTTCAGTATCGCGTACTTGGAAAAAGAACATATCAAGACAACGATGTGCTGATTTCCCTTCTTGCTTTTGGGGAATGGTCCCAAGTGATCCAGGTGCACGGATCTAAACGGCATCGGTATTACTTCGGCCAAGTGCAGCTGGCCCTCAGGTTTCCCTCATTTTGTCTTGTACACACAACAGTCTAAACACGCTGCTATGTAACTCTTCACGTATCGTCTCATACGATGAAACCAAAAATCTTTTTTCAGTCGCTGCAGTGTCTTCTCCACCCCGAAATGGCCTGAATCGTCGTGACATGATTTAGTGACACGCCACCTTGCTGCTTGTGGTACTACTAACCGTCTCTCGCCATTAACCTTGCGATATAGCCGTCCTTTGTGTAACTCGTAGTCGTGTTGAATCTGCTTTGCTGATGCTGAACTGGACATTAACATTGATACTATTTCTTGTAGCTGTTTGTCTTGCATCTGCATCGCGAACACCCAATCGCTGCTACCTTCAGTCGTGACTGCTAATACGTGTTCGGCTACCGTTTGACATTCGGTGGGTGGTAAACACGGTGCTCGGCTCATCCCGTCGACGTGTTGCATCTTATGACCTTGCCGGTGTTTCGTCTTAAAATCGAACTCCTGGAGTTTTAACCACCATCTTGCTATACGTGGCAGTAATGGAGTCTTTGCTTTTGTAGTGACAATCGCGTTACAATCAGTCACTACGGTGAACGGCTTGCCTAGAAGATACATGCGGAAGCGCGTCAACGCCTCGACGATTGCAAGTACTTCTAACTCGTGACTTGGAAATCGCGTCTCTGCTACACTGCATTGCCGGCTATAGAAGAAAACTGGTTTTTCTCCTTCGTTTTCGCATTGGAATAGAATTCCTGACAGTCCCACATGACTAGCGTCGGTGTGAACCTCGTGCTGTTTGCCAGGGTCGTACAAAGTCAGCACAGGTTTGCTCGTTATGGCCTCTTTCAGTTTAATAAATGCTTCTTGCTGTTGCTTCTCCCATTGGAAACTAATGTCTTTCTTTAACAACATGGTCAACGGACAAGCTAGCTGGCTGTATCTTCCTACAAATTTACGGAAGAATCCCGTTAGTCCCAAAAATTGCCTTACCTGGGTGACGTTGGTTGGCCTAGGGAACTCCTTGATGCACTGCGTCTTCATTTCTCCTGGAGCGATACCCGAACTCGATATTTCGTGCCCCAGAAACCTGACCTCATTGGATAGGAATTGGCATTTTGAAGGTCGCAGGGTAAGACCATCCCTCCTCACTGCATCCAAGACCTCTTCCAATACTGCAATACCTTCCTCGCAGGACGACGTTGCTATGATTACTTCGTCTACATAGCTGACCACCTTGTTCCTTGACTTGAGCGTTGATATCATTTTTACCACCATTTCTTGAAATATCATCGGTGCGTTTACTAGTCCGAAGGGCATCACGTTGTGTTCGTACAGACCTTCATGCGTTAGGAATGCCGTATATTTCTTGCACTCCTCCTTAATCGGTATCTGGTAGTACCCGCTGGTCATATCTAATGTCGTAAAGAATCGACCACCGCTTAGTTTAGATAGCTGCTCCTCCACCACTGGCATCGGAAAATGTTTACGTATTGTAACCGCGTTTAACGCGCGATAATCCACACACATCCTGCTCTCCCCGTTTGCCTTCGTCACTAGCACTACTGATGCAGCGTGCGGTGACGTGCTAGGTCGAATAACCTCGTTGGCCAGCAGCTCCTTCAAAATCGATGACAGCTCTTGCTGCTTTGCGAATGGCACCTGGTATCGTCTACCCACTATTGGACTTGGAGTAGTGACTTCAATACTCATTGTCGTTGTCTTCGATCGGCCTAGCGTGGATATACCTTCCGAAAAACAATCGTCATAGTCTGTCAGCAGCTTAAACACGGTTTGCTTTCCGTCATCTTGAAGACCTTCGTTAACGTTGAACTGTTGCGCGTTCTTAATCTGCAACATCATTGACCCTGCGTCAATGATCAATCGTCGATCGTGACCACACAGCACATCTCTTCCAAGCAAGAGATCGTAATTCAACATGCTGTCTGGTACCTCGTATAGCTTGGCCTTAATAACCTCATCCTTCAACTTTATAGCCGTGTCGATGACTTGGGTGACCTCAACTACGGAGCCACCAAACCCTTGTAGCCGTTGGAACGTTGGCGTCTTATGTTCGCTATTTATTGCTGCTGTAGTTCGTATGAGCGAATGATCGCTACCCGTGTCCACCAACGCTTGATATTTTACGCCTTCACATTCAATTTCTTCAACGATGGGTGGACTCTTCTGCTGCGTACTTACGTTGCATTCAATCTTAGCAACCGTATGCTTTGGATCTGCTGCTGTACACTTCTTTGCATCATGTCCCACCTTAGAACACTTGCTGCACCGCAGCTTCTTTTGCGGCTGAGGGCATTTGGCTGCGTAATGCCCGTACACGTTGCAGTTGTAACACTTTACTCGCTTACCTTTATCTTCAGCCGAAACGGGGCTGACGTCCGATGAAGTTACATTTTGAGCAAAGCGTTGTCCACTCGCTTGAGTCGTTGCACGTAGACTCTCGATTGATTGCCTTAAGTCGTTACATGTCCGCACATTCATTGCTAACAGAGTACGTGTGAGCGCGCTGTCGTTCAACCCGTTGATGATATAGGAATTTATCGATTCCTCATCTACGCCGCCTCGCCTTCCAATGGTTAACATTTCGTAAAAATATTCGATGAGCGGCTCGTTAGGTTTACGCCGGCGTGCTGCTAACTCACGATGAATATCTGCGGCCGTCACTGTGTATGGAAAATCCTGTAGAAGCATTCGCACAAAATCCGACCAAGAACCAAATACTGGTTGAGCGTCCAACCAATTCTTAGCAATTCCCTTCATTTTATGTTGAACCGCAAGTAGTACGGTCTCATTTTTCCATCGATATACTTGTTGTAACTGTTCCACTTTTGTTACAAACTGCTGCGCTGTCATAGTTTTCCGCAACGGATCGAATTCCGGGAGAACGCCTACTACTTCAGGGACACTGGTCGCACGCACCAGTTGCATTGGTAGACTTCGTTGCGGTGAGGGTTCAGGAGCCCCTGCCCCACCCTCCGTTACTAATACTATTCTTTCTGCCTCACCTTCATCGTTATCACTTGCTCTTGTTGCTGGCTTTAGCGCTATCTCGATCGATTTTACCGAATTCGCCAAACTTAGCACTAGCTCTTGCAGCTGGTTGAAAGGCTGCTCCCATGGCTCTACGGATGGAACCTCCTGCAACTCGACTTCATCTGTCCCCAAAAATTCCATTAGGGCCGCTACCTTATGCGCCTTGTTGCCACTAATTGCTAATTCGTTATTTCGCAATAAAACGTTTAGTTGCGCCACGGTTAAATTCGATAATTTCATCATTTTATTTAATTTCCCCGGCACCCGTAGATTATTTTATAATTTGCGTACTACTTTTTTTTTCCGTCCAACTTCTATTCCCCGAATCGTTCTTTTTTTTCCCTCTATCCGTTGTTGCTTTGTTTTCTGAATGTCGTTCACTCGTATATGCTTTCCCGTTGCACAGTCGTTAGTCGTTGTTTTCCTTTACACTGCTTCGTTGTCGTATGCGTATGCGCCGTTGGTGTCGTGAGCTTGTGTGTGCTATTACGTGCACAGCCGTTGCTCCTTTCCACTCTATTCGTTGAGTCGTATGCGTATGCGCCGTTGCCGTTGCGAGCGTGTATGTATGTATGTGCTATTACATGCACAACAGTTGCTCCTTTTTTTACTTTATTCGTTGAGTGTCTTATGCGTATAAGTAAATCGTCGTGTTTAATTTACTTACAACTTTTCCTTTTTAAAGCGTATTTTCGATACCCGCTTCTGAAACTGTCAGAAGAATAACCCGAGTGGTCTAATTTTAATATTAACACAAAT